CCCCAAAACCCCAAAACCCCAAAACCCCAAAACCCCAAAACCCCAAAACCCCAGTAGGGAGACTCAGGATTGAATGGAGAGGAAGGTTATCCAGAGCTTTCTTCAATAAGTCTAAGCAATACGTCCTGCATAAAATTCGTGTTCTTTATCCCACATGTTGCTGTAGAGCAAACTGAAGAGGTAAATCTGGAAAAGTTCTTCTTGTAATCCAAGAATGAAAGCATCTCATTGTACCTTTCTTCTTCTCCGAATGTAAGGATAAAATCAATAGGATAAATCATCGACATTTTGTTCATGATTTTGATAATCAAGTCCTTGGGCTCAACCTTGCTCTTCACTTCTAACTTCCCCTTCCTCATGTTAATCTGAATGTCAAAGTTCTTGAAGATCTCTTTAAGTAAGGTATTTAGCTCTTTCATTTGTCCAAGACCATAATCAGGAGCTAGTTTGGAGTAATTCCAGGATATCATAGAATATTTCTCTTCAATGTAAGACCCCTCTGTGCTATCAGTAAAGTTTTTCATAACTGTGGTTACTAATTCGATCCAGCTGCAGTCTTCATCTCTGAGGAAAGTAGACCAATCATTTTCGCCCTTATTTCCTTTGGAATTCCACCTATAAAAATATCCATCCTCAGCTGCAAGCCCTATATTTTCAATTTTTGAGAAGACTTTATGAACTTTCTGCTTAGTGTCTGCAGAAATCACCCAAATTTTATTGTGAGAATCCTCTGATAATTTCTTAATTAGATCTATAGTGACTTCAGAGAAGTCAGTGTCACTGATATCGTCACTCTCTTCTTCGTATTCAGTTTCCGAGTTCTTGTCAATAAGGATTTCTTGGATCTTGTTCACCATAAAAATTATTAATCGAGATCTTGAGCTTCCATAATTCCTAAAAAATTCCCTGCTTTTTAAATATTCTTTCTTTTTCTGATTAGCAATTTGAGTAGTGAGCAGTTTCCTTCCTTCATGGCCAATAAGGATCTTCCTCTTGTCGTTGATAAACTTGATATCTTTTAGAAATTTATATGCCCAAAGATCAATGGGATGCGTATTTACATATGTCAGCATCCCCTTGAATTTTTCCTCTGTGTCACCAGAGATTCAATGAGCTACAGCATTCTCAAGGCACCACAACATTTCTCTAATATTATAAGGGTTAAATCATAAAGCTCCAGAGAGAAGCCTAGAGATTCCAACAAATTCTGAGAGAACAACTAGAGACTTCTTTGCTTTGCCAACTAAATCTCTGACTACAATATACTCAATCGGAGACATGTAAAGACCATCTCTCTTATTGGTGATAAACAAAATGTCTGTCTGGGCCCAAATGAGGTATCTTTCGATATCATAAGAAGTAGTTTTAACAATCTCTATTACTTCTTCTCCATAATCTTTCTTGATTTTCTCGTACATTTCATCAATAGAGTCTTTTAGCTCTTGATAGTACTCCTCACCGTACACCTTAGATAGATTGATGTATTGAATTAGCTTACAGTCTCTTTTGTAGTAAGCTTTCATTCCTAAGAATTTATGGTATGCAATCAACTTTGCTCTAATGCCAGAATAATGAGACAAAGGATCAATAGAAGCTATAGGTGATTATACTCAGTCTTTACCTATTTGGATACGTCTATGTCTCATTTCTATCTGGTCAAACTTCTTCTTAAATTCAGGGGATTTTACAATATTTTGGATGTAACTTGGAGTCACTCCTGCATGACCGATTCTGATCATGACAGGCTTATCTTTCTTATACTTTACAATATAATTTCCATTCTTTGCCATTTCGTTTTCAATACCCATAACTCTTTTACATCAGACCATGAAATGCCTGGCTTGTTCGAAAACATGAAATCCGATGCAATCACATTCCAGAATAGACTTCAAAATTTCATGTTTATAAGTAAAGATCCTAAAAACATCTGAGCTTGGAAAGGGCGAGTGGATATACAATCCGATGTGAGAATCTCTGATACTCCTTCTAAGAAATTGGGGCACTAAGAATAGTTGATGGTTGTTGAGCCATATGAAAATATTAGCCCTTTCTGCCTCATATTTGTCCTTAACTTCCATAATTTTTGAGGCAAACTTCTCATTCATTCTTTTATAACACTGCCAGTTATCCTGCCTGTTCTCAAAAGTGTAATCATCATAGAGTCCTTTAAAGTTGTAGAATAAGGGCTTCATTACATGTTCATAATAATTATAAAATTCTTCATTAAATTCTTCATCCACAAAAATAGGACTGCAGTTAGCTTCTTCATAAAGCTTAATGATCTCCTCTTCTTCTTCAGTGTTCTCAGGGATGTAGTTGGGTAGCCCAACCCAGACGGCATTGATTGGAGATTTCTGACGAATATTATACATCTGATGATTTAGGATAGATCCTGATGGTACCAACTCAAGCTTGCCATTCTCCCTTTTCTTTACTGCTAAAGGTAGCTTAATTGAAGCCATAATAACACAATCATTAGGAGTGAAAATAAGGTCCTTCTCTTCCTCTAAAGATAATAGAAAAGACATACCGTTCATGTAATCAAAACTATTATCGTGCTCTTCATCTTCTTCCTCTTGGTAATCACTTTCTTCAGAACCAGATTCGAAAAAGTTGTGACCAAGAGGTGTTTCACTTTCATTCTCTGCCATGAAACGAACATCATGATTATCTGATTCACTTTCTATTCTGATAACCTTGAGGCCCTCCTCTTCATCAGATTCAACTTGAGAGTACTTCTTCCTTATATCAAATTGGTTGGTATTAGGCATGGCTGCCTGGGACCTTGCTTCTCCTGTATTCTATATTATCCAATAGTAATTTAGAATACCAAGTACCTTACCTGATTTTTATGGTCTAAATCTTCATCAGATTCCCCAATTCTTTTCTCTATATCTCAAAATAAGTACAAAGTGGAACTCATTTATGCTCGACCAGATTCATAAACAAGAGATCCATCAAGATTTTAGAGCATATACAAAAATAGGATTTAATAAAACCTTTGATCTTTTACACTAAGATTAGGAATAATAATACTACCTTCTTCTTTTATTTCAGTCATATGGCTCTGATACACTTCTTTTGTTGAATCTTTATTGATCTTCTTTCCTAACTCCCTATTTTTAATCATTTTGGAGATCTCTAAAAGAGGCTCTGGCTTATTTTGATGTTTTATAGTTCGAACTATATCTAATGTTGATAATTTCATTTTAAACTAACTTTTGCATGATTTTAAACTTGATATAAAATTTAATGAAGAATGAAATTAATTTATGATAATTTTAGTTATGGTTCAGAATATTGTTTTAAAGATTCAGAAATAAATCTTAAACTTTTGATAATTTTAGCATAGTTATCTTTGAACTTTTTAAACCAAACAATTAGATTTCTCAGATGTTTAGATAGCATTTCTTATAATTTCCCAACCTCTAAAAATCCGTTTTTCCTCTAGAGCAACACTTACAAACTAGGAGTGACATACTCAACTCCCCTTTCAAACATGCCTTCCATCTCATTGATCACAATGGATTGTCATGCCGTGGCTATAAGAGTTCTGTTGTACTTATAAGGCAGAACCTCCCACCTAACGATATTCCGGTCATGACTATTAGCAATAAGATATTTATACTCAAATGTTGTTCCTGAAGGTATTAACACCTTAGTAGTCCATTGAGGATATATCAGCTTGTCTGTGTACATTTCAATACATTTATTTATATCCCATGAGCCTAAGACTGGGATCGACCCTACTACGAACACGCTTTGTCCTGGCTGAGTTCCTGATCATTCGTAAAATAAGTTGAGAATCACTCTATCTTTGGAATCCATTTAATTTTATTATTCAAAATTATACTATTCCTGCGGGGTTTTGGGGTTTTGGGGTTTTGGGGTTTTGGGATTTTGGGGTTTTGGGG